CGCTCCTTTTTAGTATCTAAGAAAAGATAGCGCACCAGTGACAAAGGCACAGCGGCTATATGTTCTCTTCCAGGTGTTCTTATCGAGCATTTGGACAAAGGGTAAACAAGAAAAGAGATAATAGAGTGAAGAGACAAAAAACATTCTGGAAGTGGAAGCCAGTGCTGCTGACAAACGCTAGGTAAAATCTGTTTCACCTGACCTAGTCCAACTTCGTTAGTAATCCAGATGATTCGAATGAAAATAATCACTCCAAGCATGTTCTGAAGGCATCGCACAAACACATGTGGCCAGCTCCAGCAGCGGTCGACGCACAGCTGCATGCCGTCACCGTCAGGCACATCCACCTGGAATGTGAAATTTACCGTGATAGTTATTCAGCCCACTGTGAAGACTGTCCCACCTCTACCGGAATTTATAATGGAGTTTTACGTTCCACAGACATCAACTACCCGCAGCTTAACAGAGCTTGTTTGCACTGAGGATTACAGGCAACGCACACGTCAAAAGAAGCAAAAGGTAGCACTCTGCGCAGACCACTTCATTTGGGATATTTACTCCATTCACTTACTGGTTAACAGAAACCATAGGACACATGTCCGAGTCACAGAGTGATGTGAAATTAGTAAAATTCTATCCCATGAGTCCGCACAAGAACAGCTATTTTCAAGACATGGCCTGTAAACCTTTTGCGTAGAGTCGAACAGATCCGGGGGAAGGTGTGTAGTGAAGATCTCCATAGGTTATTTTAGGAGTCGCTGATCGTGCGCATGAGTCAAAATGTGTCCAATTCGTTGCTTAAACATTATTAACGAAAACACTAAGGATCTGGTTCGCGACAGAAGCCGCCGTCCTTCACAGAAAACCAAGCCCATGGGCAGGAGGCAGGAAGGTTCTACGATATCACACTAATGAACTAGTCTCATTTTTCTTTGGTTTCCAAAATTTCTTCCAAAGTGAGTCAAAAGAGAATTGAGAAGGCATTACTTTGGTGTAATGAAGGCATTTTTTTCGCGACATCC